GATTCTAGCTATTTCACACCAATACACAAGTCACCACAGTTCAACAAGCTGACAGATGGGTGGTAGAATTGGCCATTACAAAACACCTCAAGACACCCTACCCCCAGACAGGTACTATCAATTCTGACTCCTGGTAAGCCCATATGTTGCAGAGTAAAACTGTACTCTGTAGGATTTCCAAGGTTGCATCCTTCCAGAAGTAGGATGCCAGGCCTTTCTTCTGTGGTGCTTCTGTGGACAGTGCAATCAATCTTTCAACTGGGCTTAGCCACTGGTACTACCCAGAGTCTCCTGAGATGACCAGCAGGTGGTTGAAAGTCAGAGGCTGTGAGAATCGGAAGAGACTTGGACAATCGTTTAAGCTAGACATGTCTTTACCAGATGAAGAAATGGAGGCATACACAGGGAAGTCTGGGCCCTTCTTCCAAGCTCCTGTCTCCACCCAGGTTTTGGACGCAGTGTTGCTGCGGTCATTGCCCAAGGCCCCTGACTGGACCTTACTGCGCTGAAACCTAATGCACTCTAGGCTCTTCATCAGAGTTTGATCTGCCAGGCAGGCTTTCCAGGGTGGAGTCAGACCTCAGTCCTGCACACAGGCTGCTCTCCCTGTTGCATGCTTTGCGGCAGCTGAGGTCTTTCAATAACCTAGCTCAGCAACTCTGGGAACACGGTTGATCACGTGAGGGTTAGAGTGAAGCTGGGAGAGGGTGAGGGCCAATCCTGCGAAGAACTTAGGACAGTGGTTCCCAACCGTCCTCACGCCGTGACCCTTTAATACCGTTCCTCTTGCTGTGGTGACCCCCCAACCACAAAATTATTTTCGTTGCTACTTCATCACTGTAATTTTGCTACTGTTATGAGTCGGGTAACCCCTGTGAAAGGGTCGTATGGGCCCCAAAGGGGTCGCGACCCACAGGTTGAGAACCGCTGACTTAGGAAGCCTCAAAGGAAAGGCCCTGAACAAAAGCCAAGTCCGGAATCCCATGCGAGCATCGACACGTCCCCGGCGCGTTACTGAACATTAGTAAAAGGACACGTCCATATGATTGAAATGCTTGGCTTTTCAGGAAAAGATACACTTTTTTCTGAGACAAGTTCAGAAGTGATTGACAAGGAAGGTTGTGGAATAACCTTTTGAAGTTGGCCCTAAAGGGACAGGGTTGTGGGTCACTAGGGGAAAGAAAACAGAAGAAGAGATAAATACATATTCAAACTCAAACTCACTGCCATCAAGTCAATGCCGATGCGCAGCGACCCCTGTGGGTGTCTGAGACAGTAACTGTTTAGGGAGGAGAACGCAGTCTTCCTCCCCAGCAGCTGCTGGTGGTTTTGAACTGCCAAGCATGTGGATCACAGCCCGACCTGTAACCACTATATCACCGGGGCTCCTAAACCTAGATGTGATTTAAAGAATGAGAATTCTTACTGTTTTCCCTTTCATGAGGATTTTTTTTCCCAATGTAAAGAACCCCAGCAGTGCTGTTGGGTAAGCATTGGACTGGTAAGCAAAAGGTTGGAGGTTCAGACCTACCAGCTGCTCTGTGGGAGAAAGCTGAGGCTCTTTGCTCCTCTAAAGATTTACAGCCTCAGAAACCCTATATAGTTCACTAAGAGCTGGAATCGGCTTGATGGCAGTGGGTGGTTTTAATATAAATAATTGCTGAACTTTAAGTTCTTGCAGCCTAACTAGAGTTTAATTCTGTACCATGAGAATAGAGATCATGGGGTTTGTTCACTCACTCAACAATATGTACTGAACGATATTTATTGGACATCTATTATGTAACTCACTTTGCTTGAGATACTGGAGATGCAGCAGTAAATAGAAAAATCATTCTTGCTCTGTACGTTGTACAATTAGTGGTGAAAGAAGAGAAAAGTCAACAGTAAATGTGGTAGTTACATAATCTGTTGTCAATTTGAGAGGATTAACAGTGAAAGGGTGGAGTCTAGTCGGTCAATCAGGTTGTAGCCTGATGACCTCTTCTGGAGGTACTAAGGAGATAAATAGCTAACTGGAGGCCGGACACACACTCAGTCCCTGCGAGACATTCTTGTTGACAAGCTACATGGAAACAGGCTGATGGCAGCCTGAGCCTCAGAGTTGGAGAAGCCACATGGAGACCCCTGCCAACCCCGAGATGCTTCCACCACCACTGGATCCGCAAGACTTTCCACCCACTGGCCTGTGACCGTCCTGCCTTCGGCATCATTGCATGTGTTTCGTGAGTCTGAGGAGGAATTTGTGGATTGGTATTGGACACAGGGGCTAATACCGGACATATGGACTTGACCTGGCCTGGCCTGGGATGTTTTCCCAATATTCAATTGCTCTTGTCTATACAGCTCTTTCTTATGCATACATGAGTCTCCCTGGATTTGTTTCTCTAGAGCAGCCGGACTGACACAGTAAATGGTAAATTATGCTGCATTTTAGAAAGTGATCGAGGTTGCGGGAAAACAAAACCCAGCAGGGCATGGGAGATTGGGAGTATGAATTGGAGGGAATGGTATGAGAGGCTGATACCAAGGGCTCAAGCAGAAAGCAAATGTTTTGAGAATGATGATGGCAACAAATGTACAAATGTGCTTGACACAATGGATGCATGTATGGATTGTGATAAGCATTGTACGAGCCCCCAATAAAATGGTTTTTAAGAAAATTGGAGGGAATGGATTGGGAAGAGTTGGAATTTTAAATAGGAAGGCCTGGGTGAGAGAGTGGCATTTGATCAAAGAATTGAAGGAAGTTAGGAAGTGAGCCTCGTGGAGGAATGCAGAGCTGTGCAAAGGCCCGAGGTAGAAACACAGCCTGGCACGTTCAGAATTGGCAAAGAGGCCAGTGAGAGGCGAGAAAAATGAGAGCTGAGGGAAGATTGGTAGAAGATTTGGCCCAGGAGATATGCAGGATGGGGAATTCGGCAGGCTACTAGAGAGTGATGGGAAAGAGTGGCAAGTAGAAGAGTCTAGGCCCAAGGGGCTTGGACAGAGAGTAGAACACAAATCAAAGGCACCGTGTAAACTAGCCTTTGTGCAGTGCTTCAAAATTGGCAAAACGTTTTGTTGGGGACCATGGGCCCCAAGAGCCAGGATCTCATCAACAGGCTTGACTCTCAGCCTCAGGCCGGGATAGAGACTGTTTCCCTTTGCTGCCTTGCAGAAAAGCCCTAATGGCCTTAACCTTTTCCCTTATTTGTATTGGCTACCAAGCACCCTGTTAGCACGTGTGCTGCTTCACCTAATTAGCATAGGTGATGTCATTCCCGCGGACCTGATCGGCTACTGCTGACCGCTGGCGCTAGGCGCGCTTTTGTAGCCTTCTGATTGGGCGTTATCATTAGTAGCCTGATTTGCATGTTCCGCGGGCACCTCCTTCCTTCTTGCCTATATAGGCTGCGGCTTGTTGTTGAATAAAAAAAAGAGAACCGCTCAGCCTCCTGTCTGTCCCCATTCTTCGCGTCCCGCTCCCTCTATCCAGGACCCACGTTGCTGTTCCCGCTGGACAGGACAATGTTTAATCCTGCAATCTTTGTTCAAATCATGTTTATTCTTCCTGAGTGTCTTGGGGTTTCACAGTCCTATATAGGTGCTTTTACCCTGTTTTAAAAGTAAAGGGTGTGGCGTTCTAGTTGATTCAGGGTCCTGTGCTTGACTGGCCACACCTGGAGAACAGCAAAGTTAGGGCTTGGGCTCAGGTCCACCACTACCAGTGCTACCTCTCTGACTCCACTCCCTGATGCTGCGATTTCTGAAACCAAACTTCCACCCATCAGCAATGCGTTCAAGACCCATCCTATCATTTCTCTGGGCCTAACTGGTAAGACAGATCTGTGGTCTAGCTTCTGCTCTGTGTGCTCCTTGTCAAACCACCAGGATCCATTAGGGATACAGTATCGCCAGCAATAGTCAACACCTGCCTAAGGCAAAAAACCGTCAGAGAAAGAGACTGCTAGTTTTCCACTGATCCAAAAGCCAAACTCACTGCCATCAAGTCAATGCTGACTCATAGCAACCCGATTGTGGCATAGTGGGTTACACATTCAGCTGCCAACTGCCAGGTCGGCAGTTCGAAACCATTGTTGCTCTATTGGAGAAAGACAAGGCTTTCTACTCCTGTGAAGTATTACATGTCACAACCTTAGAACTCCACAGGGACAGTTCTATGCAGTTGTATGGGCTCCCTATGAGTCTGAGTTTCCACTAATAGAGATCACTAAACGGCTGAGACTTCTCTATCAAAAAACCAAAAACTTATGAGACCCAGAAAAAGATGGAGTCCTATTGCGTGCTGCCTCTCCCGGCTTCCTTGTCTGATGATAGCACGCAGGATAAGCAGAGACTAAGACAGGAATGCAGGGTCTGATGGTGATAATGGTTAGCAGCTGCACACTTAACCATTTGTACCAGGAGAGCTCCCTATTTGATCATATTTTTAAGAAGGATATCTGATAAAACAAAATCTTAAAGAAATATCCTATATTCAAAATGCAACAAATGGAAATCCATGGTCTTAGGTGAATTCAAAGAGCCTGGTGGTACAAAGAGTTAAGCCCTTGGCTGCTCACAGAAAGGCTGGCAATTTGAACCCTCCCAGCGACTCCACAGGTGAAAGACCTGGCCGCCAGCCTCACGCGTAGTCAAGCCAGCCAAGCCCTCTGAGGTCGCTCTGCTCTCACACTTGGGGCACTGTGAGTGGGAACTGACCGGTACCCAACAACAAGGTGTATTCTGATCTTTCATAGACGTCGGACTCCTTCATACTGTCGGATCATTCAAAAAGAACATTGCAACCAGTTTCTCATTGTAACTTCCTTCCCTCCCTCCTTCCCTCCCTCCTTCTCCCTTCCTTCCTTCCTTCCTTCCTTCCTTCCTTCCTTCCTTCCTTCCTTCCTTCCTTCCTTCCTTCCTTCCTTCCTCCCTCCCTCCCTCCCTCCCTCCTTCCCTCCCTCTCTCCCTCTCTCCCTCCCCCTCTCAATATATTCAATGAAATCTTTTCCTACCAAAGCTCCATTCCAGATGGGACAAGCGATCCGAACGCTCCATCCGGTGAACCAGAGCTTGTAAGAAAAGACCGGGAAGAAGGCGCTGACTCCGGAGAACACACTGAGACAGCCTAGAGGAACCAGCGTCTGGCCGGCAGCCCGGAGCAGGCCCTTCATTTTCCTCTGTCACTTGAGTCCTTGGTGTCAAAGACGCTTGGTAACCACAGCAGGAGGCAAGCAGGTCTCAATGACAGAGGTCTCTTAGAGATGGTGGCCATGGCACACGTGGGCTCTTGACCTACTGGGAACCACAACCCCATTCGTTTCCACAGAGGTAATAACAGGTAATAAATTAGTCCTTGCCACACATTTGACACAATAACATCCAATGCTAGATCTGGGGGGCAGGGGAATCATTCCTTGTTTGGGAGTTCCTGCCTTCACTCCCTTCTCTGCCTGCTCTGGGGAGGGACCACTTCCTGGCTTAATCAGATTGAAAGGGCTGCTGACTGAGCTAATTGTTTCTCAACCCAACCTGCCTGGTGGTTTCAGCATACCAGCCAACAAACATCCTTTGTGTACAATAGAGCCACATTCCCAGCACAATTTCCCACAAAACGAAGTAAAAAGAAAGACTTCGATCACTTTTAATTTAATTTAAATGATTTAAAGCAAACCCCACCCCTGCACCAGCTCAGTCCAAAATGTACTTATTTTTGAATTTTTAATAAGGACCCTTAATATGGCTTCATTCCTAAATTGGCCTAAGGTTCATTATGTATTCCTTTCACTCAGTACGTTGCACCATAGTCCTTTTATTATTAATTCAGGTAGAGGGCAGTTATTAATTAATTATTAATTAATTAGTTATTACATTATTAATTCAGTATGCAGCTGCAAAACAAACTTGGAGGAATCATTTCTTGCTTGAATAAAATACAGTTTTCTGTTCATTCTCGAATCCTAACTGTAATTTTAGCTGTTGGGGCCTCTGTGCGTGTTAAACAATTGCCAAGGCTCCTCTCAAGTTCTGAGGTGCAGGGACAATGAAATCATTGCTTTTGACAGATGTCCTCTCCCGAGATAAAGACCTTGAAAACACAGAACTATGTTGGAAGCTACTAGAAGACTTTGCCTATTTAATAGTAATCCCTCGTGTCTCCCTAAATCAAAGGATGAAAATGTATTTTGTGGGAGAAAGTTGAGTGACTGAGAACATGGACTTTGGAGTCAGACAGAACTGGGCTTCCACTCGATCCGATGCCAGGTTTGTGCTTTAGGGGACAAAGGCAAGTGGCTTAGCTTTTCTAGGTCTGTTTCTTCATATGGGAAACAGGAATAAAATCAGTGTGTGTCTCACCAGGTGGTTGGTTGAGAGGATTCAACCAGGCAACACACTTCAAATGCTTAAGTAGCACTGAGTTAGGCAGAGCCACAGTGCTCAGTAACGCACCTCTCAGTAAGTACATTCGGACATGCCAACTTTGGGCTTTTCCTGGAGTTCTTTTGGCCGGGGCAAATCCATTCTTGTTTCTTTTCTTTTTCTTTTTATAAGATGGCAGCTTGGTTCTTCTCGATCAAATTGGTAAAAGGCCCCCAAAGACCCTCAGAGGCAAGGTGGAGAGAAAAGCTCCTCTTCGGCGTTATCCTTTTGTCTGTGGTGTGGCCAGACGGGGAAGCGGCTGCACTCTTGGATGTGCAGACTCCAGGCGACCAGCCCAGACTTGCTGGGACAGCTGTTTTCCCCCAGATCCTCCTCGACGTGGGCTGGCATGAGTAGGCTCCTATTCTTTGATCTTTTCCTAACACCACTAGATAGATCCTACCCAGGCAGAGAGCTTGTAAGGCTTCTTTATTCCCAGGCTCAATTCCTAAAGCCATGTCTGGCACCCAGAAGACACTTCATAAACATTTGTGGAATTGCTCCATGAACGAATATCTCGGACTTTCCAGAGACATGTCGGGGGCTCTGGGCTCCGCACAAGAGTGGGCCTGCGTGTGCCCACCATCACGACTGGGTGCTAGCTTCTTCCCAGACAGAAGGGATCTCGACGGAGGGAAGACTTGTGTTGTTGTTTGCTTTGAACTGTTTTGACTTTCTCCTTTACTTTTTATCTCAAGGTTATAGCTACTTGCGTGTCAATCTACCACGGGTCAGATCACTCTATCCTGCTTGCAAGTCTGGAAAATCACGACTGTTGAAATATTCATGTCAAACAGCAGAGAACGCCAACCAAGAATAGTTTGGGTTTTCATTTTGGGGGTAGAGAATTTGTAAACACTTGCAGCATTGACAGGCTAACCCGACTTTGCCAGGGTGACTTGTGAAGCCCGAAACTATCAGCGATGAAAAGAACCGATGCCCCTCAATCTAACAGAGAGAAAGGACAGAGATAAGACTAGGATGTCTGCTTTGTTTGCCCTGGAACACCAAGTCCAAGTGAACCCCAACAGGCTGGGGCAAGACTGACCTGCCAAAATGTTTGCAGGCTACTTTGATTAAAGCCAGGAGACTTTTTGGAGAGAGGAGGCACTGGGCTTGTGGAGCAGAAGGTGAGGGCTGCTCCCTCAAGCACTCCCATGTGGCACTAGCTTAGGGAAGGGTCTTAAGTAGGCTGCATCACAGACTCTACCATCTCCCCCATTGATCTGTCTCCCACATGCTCTGCTTTTCAGCTTAGAAGGATAATTCACTGTGAGGGTCATATAGAACTCACAGATGATACGATTATGGGGCTTCTTAGGGAGATTGACAGGTTGCAGCGATGCGTGAGCATTGGGTGAACCTGAAAAACAAGGATGTTACTTTGAGGACTAAGGTGCCTGCGCTTGCCCCAAACCATCTGATTTTCAATCACTACCAAACCATGTGATTTTCAATCTCTCTCTCTCTCTCTCTCTATATATATATATATATATATATATATGAAAACTGACCACTGAAGAGGGAGCAAAATTGATGCACGTGAACTCTGGTGTTGGCGAAGAATATTGAAAGTGCTGTGGACTGCCAAGAAATAAACAGATCTGTCTTGGAAGGTCAGCCTGAATGCTCCTTAGAAGCAAGGATGGTGTGACTTAGATTCACATAATTTGGACCTGTTATCAATAGAGACCAGTACCCTGGAGAAGGCCATCACGCTGGGTAAAGTGGAGAAGCAGCCAAATAGAGGAAGCCCCTCTGTGAGATGGATTGACACAGTGGCTGCAACCATGGTCTCAAACATCAGGACGATTGTGAGGATGATGTAGGGCCAGGTTGTACATAAAGTTGCTATGCATTGGCACCTACTTAATGGCAGCTAACAACACCACCACCAACAGATTGCAATTTATGTAAGAAATGCTCAGGATACAGTAGTTGTTCATCCAGGACAGTTTCTTCTCTGCCCACAGATTGGCCTTTCGCTGGCCCTCAGCCTCTTGACTTGGCCTCTACCTCTCCTAGGGCAATGTTATAAAACTCTTTTGGGACTGCTGATAAATGCCCAAGGGCATACCACTCCTCTATAATCTTCAACCCAAAGGCACTCAGCTCTGTGGTCAGCCAACCCAGCTCCCTGAATTACGTGCCCAGAGGCACCCCACTCCACAAGCCAGCCTGCCATTCAAAAGCACTCCGCCTTACTTGCTTGGTGGACTGGGATGTCCACCACTCTGTTCCGCGCTCTGGTTCCAGACTCTGCTGCTGCTCCTCTGCTGTCAGAGCTGGCTCCTGGATCCAGGAGGTTGAACAAGTAGGGACGCATTCCCTACTCCACTCCTACCTTTTCTCTCTTGCTGGTCATGAGATTCCCCTTCCTGCTTCTGAAGGGGGTCCATTTCACACGGGCAGGAAGACAATCGCACTTAGCCCTGTTAACAGTCCCTCGTACTTGAATCATCTCATCTTATCAGGATCGTCCCTCCCTGTCTTACCCAGACCCATCAGGAAAATGAAGGTCATGCTGTGGGCGTACAAGGACTACGTTAATTCTGTGCAGTGTATTTGCCTAGAGAGAGTCACAATTGTTTCTGTCTCAAGGAAGAATTCTGGAAGTTCCATCAAACTCTTTCACCCAGCTTTGTTCCTACCAAACCACCACCACAATGACAAACGCCACTCTAAATAGCAAAGTGACGTTTTGATGGCAAATTGCTCCTCTCCTTTTGACTTTCGGGCCAAATGACATCCAAGGAAAGTTTAACCTGGACCCCTAAAGAGGTGTGATGTTCAGAGAGTGGAGGGAGAGGGAGCCGCAAGAGGAGGCCTGCCTTTGACATTCTCTACTCTTTACAAGATGTCCTTGCACTTGTGAGTTTGGAGATAATAGCTCTGTGTGCGACGGAGGCCTTGTTCACCGCCATCAAGCTGAGTCAGTCAATGGTGACCTTATTTCTGTAAACAGAATGAAACATTGCCCACTCCTGTGCCATCTTCAGGATCATTGGCATGTTTGAGTCACTTACTGTGCCTACTCTGCCAATCCACCTCTTTGAGGGGGGTTTCCCTGGCATCTGCAGATCCTCTGCCAACCATGATGCCCTTTCTAGCAACTAGCCTTTCCAGAGGGCATATTTAAGGTAAGTGCACCAAAATCTTGTCGTCTTTGCTTCATAGGAGGTTTGATTTGCTTCTGGAAGTCTATGATCGATTCAATATTCTTTGTCAACATCACAATTCAAATGCATTGATTCTTCTTGAGCAATATAGAGAGTTTTTGTTTTTAAAGTAGGCTTCAAAGCCTCAGAAGAGTTCAATTTTTGCAAAGGTACCATTAACTGTAGCTCTAATAAAAGGTAGCAATGCCTTTCGACTGACCAACAGCCCCCTGGTGCTGTCAGGGAAACATTCAATGGTTAGCTGAGAAGTTGATGGTTGAAACCCATCAGTTGCTCTGAGGGAGAAAGATGAAGCTATCTGATCTCATAAAGACTTACAACCCCAGAAACCCTGGATAGGACGGCATTAAACAGAACGCTACATTAACAAACAAACCACCTTGCTGCCATCAAATCAATGTACACTCATGGTGACACTATGGGGCAGGACAGAGTGCCCCTGTGAGCGTCTGAGACGGCAACTCTTTGCGGAGTCGAAAGCCCTGTGTTTCTCCCAGGGAGCAGCTGGTGGTTTTGCATCGATGATCTTGAGGTTAGCAGCCCATCTCGTAACCACTACGCCACCAGGAGCTCTA